AGAAATCTTTAATGTAATTACTTTTATTACTTAATAAAGTTTCTACTTTGGCATAACAAAAAAAAAAAAAAAAAAACAATAATTACTCAAAATTATTTTTTTAAATTATGCTTCATCTAACAAAAATGAAGAAGTATTTGAAGATCAACTTAAAGATATTATCAAAAAAAAGAATGCTACTAACAAATACCTCAATAAAGAAAAAAGATATTATAAAAGATCAGGCTTTGGCAGAAGAAATAACAAAAATATTAGGCCAACTCCTTTTTGAAATAATTTTTAAAAAGGCAATAAACATAAGGCAATTACTAGTTTTTTAACAAATTATGAAGTAGATATAATCAAAAAAACATGTTACAGGATTGCCAGTTACAAAATAGTTGCCAAACAATTACATCCCCAATCAGGATTAATTACTTACAATGTAATCAGAAAATTGAATTTATATATTTTAGACTAGAAAAAAATAGTAGGTCATTTATAAGTCACACAAACAATACAAGAGGGTTTTTCACCTTCTTGACAAATATACTCACCTCTTTGACTACACAATATCAATCCTGATTTAGAAGTTTCCTTAACTATGAGTTAAGAAATTTCAAAACTCTTACATATAGAAGTGATAAAACAAATTGATCACAACAAACTCTGTTTTCTTTTATAGATATTTATAGTGCCCAAAAAAGACAATAGAAACAGATTAGTAATTGATCTAAAAAAGCTCAATTCATACATATATTTTCAATATTTCAAGATAGAAACTATAAAAACAGCAAAGAACTTAATAAAAAAAAATGACTATGTTACTACACTCGATATTTAGGATGCTTTTTATCATATATTATTATCATATTCTTTATGGCAATACTTTGTCTTTAATGCTGAAAACAGAAGATTTTGGTTTACATGCCTTCCTTTTGGCCTAACATCTAGTCCAAGAATTTTTACAAAGATGTTGAAGCCAATATTAATCTAGACCAGAAGCCAAAGAATCAGAATTACAGCTTATTTAGAGAATTTACTTATTTTGGCAAAATTGAAAATGCTGATGAACAAGCATACAAAGCTTATTATAAACAAACTATTAAAGTTGGGTTTTTAAGTAAATATAAAAAATTCAAGTTATCTTTGACTCAAATAATCAATTTTCTAGACTTTATAATAAACTCAAAACAAATGCTAATCTTACTTCTGAAGTCAAAAATAATGAGTATAAGAAGAGAATGCAAAGTAGCATTGAAACATCTAAACATGTATATAAAAAAGTTTGCTTAATTAATTAGAAAAATCTCAGTAACTGCTGGTGCAATTTTTCTAGCAAGACTGAAAATAAAAGTCTTGATAAAGGACAAAAATTTAGCACTAAAACAAAAGAGATAGAATTGCAACTTGATTCTATTCAAACAAAGTCTGAAACAACTTTAATGATAATTAATGAATTTAGAAAAATAGAACAGATTGATCTTGATTTTTTTTTTTAATATTAATAGTAAGGCCATGCCTCTATCTTTATTGAATATTTAAGGGTAGGGTGTATGTAGATTATTTTTCATATGACCTAGATGGTATAATGGATTTTTATATAGTAAATTAAAAT